GTATCTATGATTTGTCCACAGTTCTTTCCACAACAGAATACTGTTGTATTTGAATAGTTTTCAATCTGATCCATGTTTCTAGAGTGATAGGGAGCATGTTCTTTTCAAGAGGGTTTTTTCCCCCATCGTGCTATATTTCATTCTGTATTTTTCACCAGATCTCTGAAAGAGCCTCTTGTTCGCAGCAGAAATTTACTTGCCACATAGTGAGCAAAATCATTTTAATTGCCTGTACAGTGTCTCAGATGACAAAAATGACATTTCTCCTCGTCCCTTTTCTTTTTGTTTAGTAATCCTGCCAGCATCAAGCATTGATGAGAGCACGAACTGTGGAGGTACCGTACAGCTAACTATAGATCTTACTTTTGTCTTAACGTGACTACTCTTTTCTGGGATGCATCAACCAAACCATTAATCTGCATGATTCACATCCCATTGATATCCCTAATTCCATTGGAGTCTTGTCAGATTTGGGGAGGGGAAGTTTTTGATACGGGAGTGAGATTCTCAGAATAATTAATTACCAGGGAAATCAGAGCCCTTTCTGATGTAACTCCTTTTTCACTGAACTAGAATGAGATACCTTGTTTTCCTAAGTACTCTATTAATTGTAGAGTTGTCACTGGGTGTCATTATAAGCAAATTGTTGCTCCAGTTCAGGTAAAACTTCAAGTTTTAGGAGCAGCATTAAAATATGTATATATATTCTTCTGACTGGCAAATTTTAGGTTGATTCTGTAATGCTTGTTATTTCTATAAAACAGGGCATGCTTTAATTAGAAATCCACATTTCCTTAGTTATAAATGGTGGTGTATCCCATTAGTGGGCACAGCCAGTGCCCAAAGTAAGCAAGTCCAAATACATGGTTACATTCAACCATTCATATGCCCTCCCATGCGTCGCTCTCTTTCCCACATACACCCCTCATTCTCTTTCTAGTTATCTATCCTAGATCCTGTAATTTCATTCACTTTTCTCTGTGTCCCCAAAACTAGCATTAACTAGCGATCATGCCAAATACTTCCTGAAAATTGTGGTTCCCCACATTGGTACTTCCTTCTAAGAAATCCCCATGTTTTCTGAAGAAATAAATTGATTTTAAGAAAGCTTCCTCAGACATTTTTTCCACCCTCCATTGGAGAAAGCCCAAATACAGCTGATGACAAGGTGTTTAGCAGATAAAAAAAATGGTCTGCTGGGAAATCAGGCACCAAGGATTACCAATGCAATGTCATCAGCTCCTCTTCCTGGGATACTAGAAGCGTGGCCAGCTGGGAGCAGTCCTGTGTTCCTTTTCAAAAGCCCCAAGGGGGAGAAAGCCTTGGGTCACCCCTTATGTTGGTAAACAGGCAAAGCAGAGGAGGAGTAATTGGAGTCAATATATATGATGCTTGAGGAATGGGAATGGCAGGGAGTCTTCTCTGGCCTGCAAGATTTAAGTTTTTTTACTTCTGATGTTCCTTCTATAGGATTTTTAAATGTGCCTCACGTTTTAAATATTATTTTTACATTTGCCTTTGATCTACTTACGTTGCTTAGCACAGTATTAAACCTGTTGCTGACAACAGTAAAAATACTAGCTTCTAAGATGCAAGAAGCTGGGGGCGTCAGGATAGCTGAGATAATCAGAATGCAGTAAATTTTTCAGCTGCCTGTAGTGATGGGCCCTTCTTCACCAAGGTGAGATACATCATTAGAAATCTTCCTATAGATCCCAGTAGAACCAGAACAAGGCAGCCCATGTAAGATCTGGGTTGCCTTAAAAAGTTGCCATGTCACTACTTTTTATCTTCAAAGTTCAGGGAAAGGCATTTTCCTTGTGCAGAGTCATTGCTCTGTTAGTTACCTTGTAAGTTATGACCAAAGACTTTGAAAAGGGCAGAAGAAAAATTGGCTTTTTATGTCTCCCAGCATAATCAGCTGCAAATAGTGATGGCTCCTTCCCCTCTGCTTTTATTTTAGGTGGAAGTTGCTTTTTAACGCATGTGGTATTTCACAATTGGTAGCAGAAAAAAAAATCCTGCTTACCAACAAACAACAAACTTTATTTGGCCCTTTTAAAGTTCTGCCCATTGTTAGAGTCATAAGATCTATTTGCCCAACCCTTTCAGATCAGTTTAATAAGCAATTTCTCTCCCCAGAAGAATCTTTAAATTGTAGATCTGGAATTGGGGCTGGAAATTCTCATTTATCTCACCAGATTGTAATATCCATGACAAGTACAGGGGCATAAAACTATTGTATTTTTGTAGTTACGATGCCCTTGAAAATATTTATAATATTGTGTGCTCCTTTGCTGAAGCCCTAATGTAGGGTAGAATCTGACAATGAAGCATAGAAAAAAAAAAGAACTTCATATGCTGCAGAGATTTCCACATGAAAAAGTGTCTTTCGTTTTGGGAGTTTTACTGCAGATTTTAAAATTGATTTAGCTTGCTCCCCACATGAGCAAGAAACTGCTGTGAGAGAACTGAATGTGTGTGTGTGTGGGGCGGGGGGTATTCTGTTGCTCAGAATGCTTGGTGTTCTGTAATCCCATGTTTTATTCAACTGATCACCCAAGGACAGTCTTGCCATTTAACAAAAGTATATTTTTATTTTCACTTTCATGAAACTGACTGTGATGGGTACCAAATGTATCAGGACTATAATTGGCAGGAGCAATTTTGGGGACATCAAAAAGCACCTTAGATCCCAGCTCTTGTCCACCACAGTCACTGTTCCTAGCAAGTCCCTTAGACACCTTTATTTATTTATTTGTTTGTTTGTTTGTTTATTCAATTTTTATAGCCGCCCAACTCACTCACGGTGACTCCAGGCAGCTTACAAGAATAACAATCCCAATACAAAACCCACTCCAACCCCCCCCCCCCCACTCCTGGTGACAACAATACATTTACACTAGCCATTTGATGGGCTCCAGGTCTTCAGGGCCTTGCGGAAGAGCATTTGCCTGTTCATCATGTTCCTTCAGTCTGGGTCCTGAAAACACTTAGCAATGATATCAAAGAGCAATCTTTGCATTACTGTTGTGCCTTGGCTGTGGCTGTATAGAAGCTAATAGCTTATCTTAATTTCTCCTCCCATAGATGGTCATGAGCACAAAGTCCCTTTATTTCCCTTGTTTTCATCATTATGCATTGTTTCTGATATTTCTGCTGCCCACTTTTACCATGGTGCTTTATTTGTTCTATTCTTCATTGACTGTGGTCAATACCTCTTAATATCCCTCAATTTTTTAAAAAAATATAATAATTATAAATTCATATTGCTCCCTGTCACAAGTAGGATCAGGGAAAAACATCATACCAAAAGCAGTAAACCAGAAGGACTCCCTACAGGAACCCTGGATCTTCAGATTCAACCAATGACTATGTTGTCCACTTCCTTGAAAAGTGAGACAGAAGCACACTTGAATATTATACTTTGTAGTGTGTGTGAAATGGAAAATGGGCACAGTTTCTAAAAGCATATTATATCATTCTTAGTGCTTCACCAATTATAATACCCTGGAGACTTTGAGCAAGTGGTATAAAATGAACATATTTTGTTCTCGTAGACAATGGGTAGGAAATTCTGTCCTAAGATAAAACAGTCTTCAGGCATTCTTTTAATTTCATAATGCTGTAAGGTCTCATTGCTTAAAAATTCTTGATCTCCTCTTTTCGTTCTTTTTTTTTTTCCAACTTGCTTTGGTTACCTACTATCCAGTTGCATTTCTACAGTTGTGTAGCATTTCCTGTATAGAGGTAACTCACTGCATTGAAAGTACTTGAAATCTGTTTACCTACTGATTTGTGTTGGGAAATGTAGCAATTTTCCCTTTGAAATCTGTTTGGGGTATTTGCCAGATAATGTGAGTTTCCAGCTGAGATTTTTGCCCTCCCTGATTATTTAGAAATTAAAAACATACATTTAAACTGTCCTGTATGAAGGGTCCAAGCAATAGAAAATAATCAAATGAGCCAAGGTCAGGAGACAGGCCCTTATAGTAGAGGCAGTGTGTGTGTATATGTATCTTCAAGTCAACGTTGATGCCTAGCGCCTGCCTGGCCAAGTCCCTGCAGTTTTCTTGGCAAGATTTCAGAAGTGGTTTGCCCTTGCCCGCTTCCTTGGACTGAGAGAGAGAGACTGGCCCAAGGTCACCCAGCTGGCTTTGTGCCTGACACAGAACTCCTGGTCTCCCAGTTTCTAGCCTGGTGCCTTAACCACTCACCAAATTGGTTCTCTAGTAGATCAAAGCGGCAAGGATAATCCAAGGCTGATCTAGGGTCAAATATCCATAAATCCACAAAAACCATATAGTGCATAGGCAAGGAACAAGCCATGGTTCAGATTTTGGGACTTTGGCATCATGGTGAAAATGGCACTACTTACTCCTTGGGTTGTTCCTAACCCTGCTAGATCAGTAGGAATTCTGATTTATACTGTTTGCCACCCGGAGACACTTGTTAAGATGGGCAGCCATACAAATTGATTAAATAAATAAATGATTCTCCAGAAGCCATTAGGGTAGCCCTCCAACTAAAATATCAGGAGTCAGCCCCTCTTTATCATCTAGTCTATTTTAGTTCTTCCTGAGCATTTTAAGCAACCCTGAAGGCTATTTTCCCATCCGATTAGTGAAATGTTCTTTCTATGACAGGCACATTCTTTAGAACCCATTGATGTGTATTGTTTGTATGCCTCATTTTTTTCAAACTGTCAGCTTTAATGTTTAGTTTCAGTTTCAATCAAAGGAGAAAGAAAGGCTTTTAAAGAAAGCAAGATATGATCCCATTAACACAGAATTACGGTGAGCAAACTAATAGGAAGGGAGGAAAGTGGATGCAGCGTCCTCCAATTGCGTTTTGCTTGTACCAAGGGAGCAGAAAATTATTCTTAGGTCTTCATTCATTCCGTAGCCATCCCAATACCCTTTTCTTACGGTTATAATGTATGAGTGTTTTTTATCATCAAGGGCATACTTCTTATCCAAGGATTTGCAGATAAAACCCTAGAAAAAGAACTGAGGTATCCTCTGGAGCTACTGAGAAGCACAAGCTTTGTTTAGTATGTTTTTGTCATACAGGTCACTTCTCCATATAAAACTGACTTTAGGGGAAGGGTAGGAGGGATATATTGAGCCATATAGACAATTCACTCATGCATACATACATAAGATTTAGAGGCCACCCAACTCGGTGTCATTCTGTGTAGCTTACAGTGTTTAAAAGCAGGAAACAATAAAAGCTTGGCCACCTACCTATCCCAAGGCCTGGGAGAACAGCCAGGTTTTCAGTGACATTGTGAACATCAAGAGGGTGGGAGCCATATGGATCTCAGGAGGGATACTGTTCCAGAGAAGGCCTGCTTCCTAGGTCCCAGTAGATGGCATTATTTAACCAAGGGGACCTGGAGCATATCTACTCTGCCAAATCTTACAGGAAGGCAGCAACTGTCAGAGAGAGGTGGTTCCTCGGATAACTAGGCCTTATGCCAGAAAACGCTTTAAAGGTGGCAACCAGCACCTTGAATTGTGCCCAGGACCCAGCTGGCATCCAGTGCAGCAGTGAATATGGTAGTGCAGATGGGAGAGCTAGTTGTGGGCGAGCATTTTGCGGAAGCAGTGCCAGCGTGGTAGCAGTGTATGAAACCTTATAATATTTTGTTTCCAAATTGGAGTAAGAATGTTCACCTTATAGCTGAGAAAAGTGTCACTGTTTTGTCATTTTTGTGTCACTGATCTTAGCATCTCTTATACCATCTCTCCCAGGTTTTAGCCTCATCCACCTTATTGCCACAGGAATCTCCTGCTTCTTTGGCTCTAGCCTCTTAACCTTTGTGATCTACGTTTACTGTCAACGGTGCCAGAGGCAATCTCAGGAGTCAACTGTTATCCATCCCACTACTCCCAATCATCTTCATTACAAAGGCAACACAACGCCCAAGAACGAAAAATACACACCTATGGAATTCAAGGTAAAAGACCGTATCCATGAATTGATCTATGTTGAGCATACTATACATTTGCAGTAGAAATAGATAATCTATGGCCTTCCAGACATTACTAAACTACAATTTTCAGGGTTTTTACCATGGATTATGCTGGTTAGAGCTATTGAGAGTTGAAGTTCCACAACTGAGGGCCCAGTGTTCCTACTGTGCTCAATGGTTCCTAACTTTTCATGCAATTTCCTTGTTTTCTTTTTACAGTACACTTTGAGCTGAATTTTATGATCAGTAAAATCGTGTGGCAGAACTATCCTAACCACTAAATCACCTGATATGGCTTTGTCCAGCCAGAACCTACCACATGATTCTTCTGATTCTGTTGTTCAATTTGTGCCTCCTTTTCAGGCATGGCCTGTTTTGGGTCAGAGAGATCTGTTGTGGCTTAAAAGGGCTGTTTTCCTACAGAAGGTGCCTTGGCTTTGCCCATTACCCTGGTTATAAACATAGACTTGATAATTTAACTGAGACATGTTTCTGAAGGGAAGAGCAATAGATGCATACTTTTGGAAGATAAGTGTAGCATCCTATCAAAAGCTGAATATTAAGGTTTGAAACCTGGTCTATACTTTCTTCCTTTTCCCTATTTATCTATACGTGTTTTTCATTTCATGTAAATTCTGTCCTCTCTTCATCCAAATTTTAATCAATATCAGAAGAGGACAGAAAACAGTTTATTTTGTTCATAGGTGCACATATAATACATTTGATGGGTATGGGAAACATTATATTGATGTAACCAAATGGGTTGTTTGTTTGGTAGGCTTATTCACAAGAAAGTATTCTCTACTTTGCATGAATTGTCTTGGTAACCTCTTTTTTGTTTTTAGCTGGAGTTTCCCCATCAAGAAATGATCCTGGCAAGCTAACAGATACCACAGTAGCAATTAACACATAATAAAGCATCCAGCAACTGTAATCAACAAAGTAACTTGGAGACAAGGGAAAATACTCCTTAAAAACAATTGATTAACTTGCAGAGATGATGGCAAAGATTACTATTCTTTGGCCTATATTTAAAAAACAAACAAGTAAATAGGGAGCAGGTACAGAAAGCAGGATCCCAGTTGAGGGCCTCCTTGGAAAATCATGCTTCCAAAGAGTGCTGATGATAGAGCAAAGCATTTCCACAGATTTTCAAGTGGGTACCATTGCATGAAAACCATTTTAAAATAATGTTCAGAGCTAGAAAATAGATTTTGACATATGGTAGCAATCCTTCAACCTACCGGTCCTGTTTGCTTGTGTTTTGAAGCCTGCGAATCCTTATTCAGGCTTCCCCTGCCCTATAGGGGCCAGATTGCACCTGGAAAGTCTATCACCGCCAGCAAACAAACTGGAAGGAAACAGTCAGTTCTACTGATACATAATTTTATTGATGCATGCATGATCAGCTGGTATGCAGGCTGGGTGCACCAATAATAATTTTTGAATCTAGATTTAAGTATCTTTATACCGAAGCGATCCCAGGAAAACTATCCCCCAGCAGAGCCTCATTATATCCCGGCTGAAAGTGGAGCATCAGCTCTTTCGTCCGTGTTTCAGTTCCTTTCTGTGACTTAAGGAATTGCATATTTTTCCTCCATATAGAATGCCTTACTGGTTCCTATAGGGAAAAGGCATTGCAAGAGGAAGATTACATATCCCTACTGCCCCCCGCCCCCGCAAAAGATTAAAACCTACCTTAGAAACTATGAGTACACTGTTTGGTTTATGGGGATCTTGATGGACCATAGAAGGAAGTATACTGTATTGCTTTACTTTGCTTTCTCAGATGATGAAGCAGAGCTAAATATTTGAAGTCTTATGGTATACCTAGCTTGGGATCCTTAAATTTAACAGCACATTTAGATAAATAATTTGCTGCATCCTCCCTGAACCTTCCAAATGCAGATGGAAATTGCAGGACTGGACACTTTTCCATGTCAGACACACTCTGTCTCAATTGGCTAAGCTCTAAGATAACCTGGAGCTTTTCTCCCTGATAGGTTACCTTCTTAATGCAGAAAATCATATATAATATGGGCGATACTGTGACTATGCACCCCTCTTCCAGTTGTTGCTACCACCTCTGGATTTTCTTTTGTTGCTTTTTAAAATGTGTCTTAACTATACTTTTTTATTGGAAGAACCTTTGGGCAGTTTTCATTAGAAAATATTGTTAAAATAGTTTGAATATATAAATAGCATCTTTCATTCAATTCTTTGTTGCTACCAATAAGCACACGAACCCCCCGCATGTAGGAAAACAGCTAAGCTACTTTCTTCGGAGAGGTCACTTTTATGTTTATTGATTGATTACGTGCCATGAAGTCCTTGCTGACTCCTACTGACCACATAGATAGATTTTCTCCATGGTGATCTGTCCCTAACCTGGTCCTTCAGCTCTTCCAACAGTACACTCGTTGTTACCGTAACTGAGTCTGTTCACGTTGCTGCTGGTCGTCCTCTTCTTCTCTTTCCTTTCAACTTTCCCAGCATTAGAGCCTTCTCCAGAGAGCTGGGTCTTCACATAATGTATCTGAAGTAAGATAATTTGAGCCTGCTTTTATATCTATATAGATTTTTTTTTTTAGGGTGAGGAAACAAAACTTTTTTTTAGAACAAGAGCTGTATTCTCAAAAGTGGTAAAGCCAGAACAAAGTGAAAACTGCCAGAACCCCCATCCCCTAAATTCTAATGCTAGTTCATGCTCATTTTATAAGGCAATTTGAATAGTTCGGCAGTCCGTAATTCTGCATTAGGTATCTAGAAGTAATGCATATGCATCACTGAGAATGAGCAGAGCTGAATGTCATTTGGTCTTTGGGGCAATCCTTGTATGCCTGTGAGCTTTCTGTGAGATACTGTGATTTGTGGGAGAGATAATAGCTCTGTGTTTTCAATCTGCCTTAAGAGGAACAAAACCCTTCCACATCCTTCTTTTCTCTCTTAGTCCTTGACTATATGTCAGATTATCCAAGACAGGAAGGCAGGAATTTGCAAAGGGTCATAGGTGGAGAAAAGCCAGTGCTAAGGAAGTTTATCCTGCTTGAACTTATCTTGAATGTAGGATTTTTCCTGATCATGACTATCTCAATAAGCAAGGCTCAAAGATTGTCATTCAGGTTTCCAGGATCATGAATATATCAATGAGCTTTGCACATTAGCAAATTCCATTACTATTTGTGGGTGCAGCTGCAGTTAAATGACTACAGAAGAAGGGCACCGTACTGTCCTTTCCTCTTTACTGAACTTCCTCCAAAAATTATTCTACAGTGTTTTTTTCAGGTTACAGTGGCAAAAAGTTGTTTGCAAGTTAATAAGAAAACATTTTTGTTAAGCATGAGTCAGCAGGAATTTGGAGAATGTAAATTATGTCAGACAAACAAAAATCTCCCCCACCCTTCCTGCTTTCTCCCATCTCTTTCATCTAATTAAATGCAGGTTGATTGACACAGAAAGGCCACATCCTGTTTGTTTCAGGTACAGCTTCATTAACTAAGATGTCTCCACTGTCCTGAAAACATTTGCTTCTTTGTGTTCCATAATCAGAAGGAGTCCTTAGACACCACTAAACATTTATTTAATGCCAGGCTGGTGCTCAAGGCTACCCTGAAGTATCAGTATCATTAATAAACATGATCCCCTGAATTTTGCCTCCTACCATAGAAAAATAAGCTGAGAGTAAAAGATCATGGTTAATAGGGATGGGGAGGGGAGATTCCAACAGGAAATAGGGGTGGAGTTAGGCTGAGTTTAGCAAATGAATTGTTAGGAAGCCGGTCCTTAAAGGAGAAAACTGTAGAGGAGTCATGCTGGGCCACTAGTAGATGAAGCTCCACACAAAAGACTGAAGACGATACTTAGAAACTCACTGGCGATATACATGTGAATTGGTTGTCTCCTATCATAGCTTCTCCTATCTTAAGAACTATTGTTTAGTAACTCTGTTATTAGTGATGAAATAACCACAGAACTGCAATCCCCAGGGTTTATTGGAAGAATATAGTAGGAAAGTTTAATAGAAATGTAGATCAGAAAATGGTAGCCAGAAGATGCTGGGCATCACATCTGTAAGGGGAGGTTAAGCATCTGTTCAGAATTGGTGAATGGAGGAAATGTGAGATGAAAGAAAGACAGGAAATAGATTCTGTTTCTTCAGTTTATTTCTCTGCACAGGTGAAGAATCACCCGGTCCTCCAGATACTGCTAACTGCAATTCTTTGGGGGGGGGGGCGGGTTGTACTTCAGCAAAATCTAGAGGGCCCCAAATTCCTGGCCTATTCTACTTAAATAATGGAGGGGTAAGGTGAATAAATACTTTTGAAATTAGCAGAACTATTTATGGGAATGTGATTGTAATCTTAATGTCATAAGCAGTGCTGAAAACCTTTCTTTGGAACTGGATTTTTCACAGTAACCTTCTCCGTGATATGAATGGGTAATGCATTAATTCCACCACATCTGAGATGTCCAGTTTAGGTCCCTTGAGCTTTCCAAAGGCACAAATGAATTTGAGATCCTGCAAAGTAGGGCATCTGATCTAATTAATGAAGTGGAGGACATTCAGTTTATTAGGAGACATAGTCAATTTGGGCATTATTTAAAGGACACGGTAGAAAAGTATGACTGAATTATTTGTGACTACAGCCTTTGTTTTAAATGTTGGGGAGAAAAAGCTGTCATCCCAATAAGTCACAACCACAACGAGTGCTATAGGCTCTCCCACCCTACATTTTCCTGCTGTTTCTGTAACCCTTAATTTAAGAACAAAAGACATAAGGAGAGTAACCAGAATTAAGGAAGGACAGAATATGAATAAAGAAATAATGAGAACATGGAGCTGATACATAGTGTGCTAAAGTAGTGACATAAAGGACAGTGATTATTCAGGCATATACATATATAGATTTAAAGAAGGATAATACAGGTGGATATGAAACAAAGAAAAAAATAAACTGGCCATTTGCTAAAATAAAGCATTTAAC